TTGGTGACAATAGGGGTAATGATGGCCAACATCAGTGACAAACACAACACATGCTCGGTGTTTAGTGTAAAACCTGGCTTGTGATGGGGGTGAAAATAGTTAGCTGTGGTTACTTGTCTGTTTCATGTCAGCAACCGTACTAAGACCTTTACACACTCACTACCTCTCTCTTTCATGTAGCAGATGTTCACTGAGCATTTACTGGGTGCCAGGCTCTGGGGATGAAGTGAGGGCCAGCAACTGGGTATCACAGTGGGCTCCACGGTGACCTCCATCGTACAGATGCGTAAACTGAGGCTCAGAGAGAGGGCCAGTGACTGGGTATCGCTGCCACCTGAGGCCCCGCAGCTAGTGAGCGACACAGTCGGGACGTAACTGCAGCTCTTTTCGATGCCAGAAGCTCTTCCATCTCCTCTGTCATGTGGCATTTTCAAGGTTGCGGCCTTTGTGCTCAGCTCCTGACGCCACGCTGAGACTGTCATTCTGGTCCTAAGTTCGACTTGCTGTGTGATGCTAGGTAAGTTACCTCCCCTCTCTGGGCCCCTCTCAGATCTTCCACTCTTTGATGCCTTCACTAATAATTCCTTAGTTGTTTTGTTCGCCTTTCTATGCTTTATTCTGAGAGAGGGGTAGAGGTAGGTAGATGGGCAGATAGACAGACAGAGATGAACACATCCTTAAGGATTTGAAACATTCCTGCTTGGCTGTGTTTTATAGTAAGTGGCAGATTCCTGGTGGAGCAGCGAGGTTCATGACGGGTTGGGGACTAGGCATTTGGGGTGCGAAGGGGGTTTACCCTGGGGGCTCCTGACTCATCCTAAGATCAGACACCCTCCATCCCCCCTCCAACACCAACAATGCAAGGTGGGTGGTCCTAATTAATGCTGCAGTTCCAGGCATCATTGGGTACCTATCAGTCCCTGTTGTCACTTGCTAGAATCCTTTGCTCACATGGGGACCCCAGAAAGCCCCGCCCCATGACAGCTTGACCAACTGACACTCTTCAAGATACTGCTTGGCTGTCACCCTCTCTGTGACATTCCACAACCCGCAGAGATAAACCCAGGGCCCACGACGTGTCCACCCCCACCCCACCGTCCAGAGGGCCTTGCCTGCTTCTCGCCAGGTCTCTGTGTGGCCCTTCTTTTCTTCCTGAACTTGAACTCCCAGAGGCCTCCGAGCCCCCCTGCGTCACCACGTACAGGTAGCTGGCCCCTCCCCAAGTCCATGAAGGCGGAGGCTCTCCTGCATGTGCATACCCTGCCCTTTACTGGCTGTGTGACCTGAGGGAGCCACTTAACATCTCTGTGCTGTCATTTCCAAACCCACAACATAATAACGCCTACCTGATAAGGATTCTTGGTCATTGTAACCTCCACGTACGAAGCGTCAACTATGCATCAGACCCCATGCAACGGTGCTTTGCACGTCTCATCTCTAATTTGGGTAATCGCCCCTCTGTAATGATCTCTAGTCACATGAGCTCTAAATCACATAATTATTACCTCCACATAATGACATTCCTGTTCACTATTGCTCACGGATATGAACTGTGCAGCTCAGAGCCCAGCACACAGTAGGTCCCTCATAAATGTTATCTTAAATGCACACAGCATCAACAGACCCATCCAGTACGTGAGGGAGAAAAAGAGCGCCGCCCCCTGGGCCGGGCACATGTGGCTGGGCCCTCACGACCCAGCAAACACTGCCCAGCGCCACCTACAGGCCACCCACCCTCCTCTGCCTGCAGTCGAGATGCTCTCTTCCTCGCCGCTGTGATAAATAACAATTGCCAACACTTAGGCAGGGCTGAGGGGCCCTGAGGACAAAATTATTTTTACTATCAAACCCAAATTGGTTTACTAAAACTGTCAGCAGAAACCAAGCGAGATAAATTAAACCCAGCAGCTCTTGGGCCTCGCGTAACCCTCGCTGGTGAGATGCTATTTTCACTCCCTCCGTGGGAAGAAAGAGGTGCCAAGCCCAGATGCCACCCTGCCAGGCATGTGCTGGACTTTTTCAGAGGAAGCCTCAGCCTGGTGACTGGAGGGCTGGGCTCATCCCCCTCTGCTGCCTCTGCTGCCCAGTTTGGGCAGATCTGGACTCCCCAGTGCACCCCTCGAAGCCCTGACTCCACTGCTGCCTGGTGGCGCGTCCTCATTGCTGCCATTCCTGTGTCGCCGAGCTCCGGAGATGCAGGGCTCCCTCCTCTCAAGGGCTGGCGAGGATCCCAGACTCTAGGGACACAGCAAGCAGGGTTCGAATCCTGGCTTGGCTAGTTCCCAGCCATGTGACCCAGTCGCTCTGCCCTCTCTCTGAGCCTCAGTTTATGCATCTGTACGATGGAGGTCACCGTGGAGCCCACTGCATCTGCTCGTCGGGATGGTGCCTGGGATGTGATTGGCTGGGACGCACCAAGTGCACAGCACAGTTTCGATGTTGTGGGCAAATGGGAAGCCTTCCTGCTTCCGGACCTCCGCACAGGCTGTTCCTTTGAGCTGCAACACCGTTCCCTCTGTCTTTGCCCATCTCCGATCTGCCTTTCAGGTCTCAGCATGGGTGAGGGATCTCTGGGTTGCCACTGTGGGCATTTGGGGTGAGCTCGTTCTCTGTGGTGGGGCTGCCCTGGGCATTGCCGGGTGTTGAGCAGCACCCCTGAGCTCCAGCCACTCGGTCCCAGTGGCATTGGCTCCCATCACCACTGCCTCCAGACACTGCCGATGTCCCCTGTGGGCGAAATCGCCCCCAGCGACTTAGATGCCCCTTCCTCCGGGACCCTTTCTCTCCCTGCCATCTTCCAGCTCGCCTGCCCCACTCCCGGCCCTGGGGTCCCCTGTTCTGCATCTTGCTTGTGCCATGTCCACTCACGGCGTGGGCTCCCCGAGGGCAGGCCGTGCCTGTCTGGCTCCCGGCCGATGCTTCCTTCTCAGTGGGTGCTCAGTACATGCGCGTGGAAGCGAATTAAACACACTCAGTGGGAAGAATCACCATCTTCACAAGGTGTCCCTGGTGACTGAAACTGGACTGAATCGGCCCTGGATGATGTAGGTTTCGTGCCCCACGGAGGATGCGGAAGCTCCCCCAGGAGGGGCAGTTCTCTCCCCACTGACCCCGTCTCGGAACCTGTCTGTGGTCCCACAGACACCTTCACTCTGGCTCAGCATCTGGCGCCCAGATTATCCGGCAGAACATGCGGCCTCCCCGAGCCCCACCCCACCTGGCCCCCAAACTTGACCAGTGGATCTGAGCGTCACCGGTGTGGAGGGTCTCCAAAGTCCTCTCACTCGGACCCTAACTCTAAGTCTGTGGCGGCAAACCCTTAAACACCATTACTCTCTGAAACCTCCTCTTGGGGGTCTTCCCATTGCGGCTACTTTGCTTGATAATTTTTAGGCAAAATGTTATTTCTTCACCAGATTACCCACGATGTAATAACCACGGTTTACTGAGGAGTGGAGGGCCTCTCCTGGGAGACTCTTCACACTTTGTTTACTTTTTTCCCTCCTGGGGCATCACAGGCAGCTGGATAAGAATTTGAGCTCACATTCTGGCCGAGGAATTTCGGGGGTGTGTGCCGCAGAAACACGGATGTTAAAGACCCTCTTCACGGTTCAGAAACACTGGGCCCAGAGAAAAGCCCGAAGCCACGTGGCTCGGGGGTGGGGGACATGGAATTCTGGTCCGGGTTGGCCTGGCCTCAGGTCCACGAGAGGCGGGGCCTGTGAATCTCTGAGTCAGTTGGAGCAGGAGGTCCCGGGATTACCTCAGAAGACACTGCCGCTCTCTCTCAGGGACAGGCTCAAAAGATAGTTGCTGATGATTTTGCAAATAATTTCCGTCTTTCCTGGCAAAGCTCCTCTGCAGAGCCAGGCATCCTGAGCCCTGCTTCCCAGCCAGCTGGGTTTGCACTTCACTCGGCTGACCTCAGAGGTCACGGCCGCATCCAGAGAGGCTCTTTAGAACTTGGCATTCCCCCTGGCCCCAGCCAGAGTCTGGGTCTGCCTGGGAGCCTTTTCTTCTGCTTCTCTGGACACCGCCATATGTCCATGTCCCCTTCTCAGCCCCCTGTCACACGGGGGCAACAGAAAGAGTGTGAACGAGCAGCCACAAAAGCCTGGATTCAAATCTCAGCTCCGCCACTCGCCAGCTGGGCGATCCTAATCCAGAAGATAGGGTACCAGGCAGGGTCTTTGTCTGTGTGAGGACTACCTGAGACATACACGTTTAGAGCTATCATCGGTGCATCTGGCCCTGCTCCCTGGGAGCGCCCCGGTCCCTGGGGAGTTGATGGAGGGCGTTCTAATCGGAACATGTGAGAAGTACCATCACTCAGTACAGTAAGTGCCACCACGCAGCCAGTAAGTCCATTCACCCCAGCATTTCTTCATTAGACATTTTCTGAGCACCTACTATGTGCCAGGCTCTGTGTCAGACCCTGAACAGAGTTACATCAGACCAGGCCCCGACTGCAAGGCCCTCTGGTGTGGCTGAGAGAGACAGTGAGGACATACACTGCTGCAGGACTGGTGAGAGTAGACATCCGGCCCTTTGAAAATGCTGCCCGTACTCTCGCCACAGGGCCTTTGCATATTCTGTTCCTACTGGGTGCATTTGCTCCAACCCATCCTTGAGTCGTGAGCTTTAGTGTCAGGTCCCCTAGGAAGGCTTTTCTGATCTCTCCCCTTTATATCAAGTCCCCATTACATGACCTCACAGCGCAACACACCTATCCTTCCATCCACTACCAGAGTGACAGGACGCAGTTATCAGTGCATCCCTCACTCACTGCCTGCTTCCCCGGTAGACAGAATTCCCCAAGGATGGAGGCTTTCTCTCTGCATGTATGAGGCTGTTTCCTTCACCACTGGGACCCCAGTCATTGGCCCAGCCCCTGACACATAGTAGATGCTCATTTAATATTGGCTGAAAGACTAAGAAGGCCCAGTTTCTTCCCCAGTCTGGATGCGGCGGGGTTGGGGGGCCCACCAGGAAACACTCACAATTGGATGTCTAAGAAGATCCTCTTCTCCTCCCCAACGTGGATCTTCCAGACACAGTCTTCGCCTTCCATGTACGGCTCTGGCCAGTTTGGGGACAGCACCACCCCAGCCACAGCAGAGAGCTCCCCACCGCACATGGCTGTAAAGGACACAGACAGATACATTTCACTCATGAGGAAGCCAGTATGGCACAGCCGCTAAGAGTGTGGGCTATGAGGTCACGTGGCCACAGCTCGCCGTGGTCGGTGGACAGGGGCCTTCACTCCGGGAAGCCCGTACATGTCTGTGGGGTGTTAAAATTGGGACTGGTTGCCTGCCTCCTTTAGCTGAGGGTTGGCGAGGATGGGGCTGTAGCTCTATCAGGACCAAAGACAGAGCCCAAAGTCCTGAGTGACATTTCAGCTGCCCTGCTCTTATGCAGGGTGAGGAGTGACTAAGAAATGGCGCCTTCAGGCCGGGCGGACCTGGATCCGAGGCCTGCCTTGGCCACCAACACTCTGTGGCAGGGCAGGTAAGTCCTTGGAGCCTCCGTTTTCCTTCTCTGTAGAGCCAGAGTGCTCCCACCGCTGATGCCATTGGGTCATTCTGAAGGTCAGTGGAACTCAGGGTGTCAGACACAGCACAGGGCCTGGCACAAGGTAAGCACTCAGGAATTCTTAGCTAATGCAACTGTGAAGGAGCCCGGCTCTGAACTGGAAGCAGAGAGAGGACCGTACCTGGCACCTGGCCCTTTAAATTCCACTCTGTGTTTACCGCTTTGGAAAGTTCTCAACGTGGCAGAGGCCAAAGCACCAATAAATTCCGCTCTGTTAAACCAGCACATTTAATACAGAGATCAATCCCTCACCACGGCGGGGTTGTTATTTCACGCCAACCACCATCCAGGTGGCGCCTGCCAGGAGTGAGAGAGGTTTCTCTTCATTATTTCCATGCTCCACGGGCATCGGCTCAGGGTGCCTACCTGGGCTCAGAATGCGGAAATGGGGAGGGCAGGGCCCTGGGGACCCAGGTAGATGAGGGTTCTAAGTAGCCAGCACTGTCCAGGGGGCTCAGACCAGAGGTCTCTGAGAACAGGGAGACCTGAGTTCCATTTCCTACTCTGCCAATTACCCTCATTGGGTTCTTAGGCCTGTCATTCACAGCCTCAGTTTACTCATCTGTAATTGGGGTCAACAGTGAGGGTTAAATCAGACGACGCCCCCATAGTCCTTGGCAGAGGGCCTGAAACACAGTGTCAGCACTTCTGTTAACAATGGTCACTATCGTTACTATTACTGATTGGGTCCAGGACGGCCCCGTGCTGTTAGGTGAGTTAGCGCCGCACGAGGGCGCACTACGGAGGGGCCCATAGCAGCTGAGATCCACTCAGAGATCTTGTCACCAAGCTGCACGCTAGTGGCTTGTGCCTGGAGAAAAAGGCACCTTTTGGAATGGATGTATTTGGCAACTTCCTCAAGGACAAGCAGCAAACCTGACCCCAAGGACAGTGAGTTCTGGGAAGCGTTCTTACACTTGAACTGGAGTGTAAGGTGGTAACAGGCCCCTACACGGAGGCCTTGACTTTTTCATCTGAGGGGGCGGAGGTCCCTGGGGGGGCCCAGGAGGGGGACGGTGGGGTCACTCACCTCTGCACAGGGGCTCCGTGTCATTCCAGTATGGGTCCCTCATGTTGATGCACTCAATGACGGCCGGGCCCTGTTCCAGAGAGTGGCCGGGGTCACAGGTGAACTCCACGACAGTCCCGATGTTGTAGGTCAGGTCGGACGTGGTGAAGTTCCCATTCTGAATGTAGGGCTCGTAGCAGTGGCCTTTCTCAAAGGCTGGGGAGGGGACACAAGAGAGGGACAGCAGCTCAGGTGAGCCAGGGGCCACTTGCAGGCCCTTCCTGACACTCAGGGGTGCTCCCAGGGACACGGGTACCAGACTCTGTGACCTGACTCCAGCTGCCCTGACGAAGGAAGGGCCCTCAGGCCATCCACTTGGCTTCTGGGGGTCTCATTTTTTTTTCTTATCTAAAATGGAACTGAGAATCTCTGCCCTCCCAACCCAGCCAAGTTTTTATGTTTAAATTCCTTTTAGTGTCTCGTATGGATTCTTTCTATGTCCCAAAACTGAGAGTCTTGATTTCTGCCACTTAAAACTATAAATTTACCTAAGAAAAAGACCCACTTTTCTTAGGTAAGACAGAACAGAAAGTTCCCCAAGGCACATGCAATACCGAAGGGCATCCCTTCTTAAATGGCCAGGACTACACAGAACAGGCCCTTGCTAATGATTCTGGGAGGAAGAGGGGGCTGGACTTTAAGGGGTCTCACTGAACACAGCGGAGCTTAAGGGACCAGACTCAAGCTGGACGGAAGTCTTAGCTCCATGCTTTTTTCTAACCAGTGACCTTGAGCGAGTCACTCAGGTTCCCTAACCCCCGTTTCCTCAGTTAAAAGATAATAACAGCTCTCACGCTGCAGTGTGGTAAGCGTTAAATGCACACTGGACATAAAACGCTGGGCACATAGTAAGTGCTCAGTAAAGGGTAGGAATTGTTATTAGTACAGCTAAGTCTGCTTCTGCAAGTCCGAGAGTCCATCTGGCTGCTGGGTCTCCCTTATCCCTGGATGGCCAGATTGCTACCCCCCAGGACCCAGTTCCCGCCCTGCCATGCTTCCTCTGATCCTGCCCTACCACCCCAGCAGAGGGGGAGGCCCCATGGACCCTCACCCTCGAACCGGATGTTGAAGGAGGAGGCTGCCCGCGCCTGGTCGGACGTGAACTCGATCCGGATGCTGTTGCCCTCGCTCAGCAGGCCCTCGAAGGGGACACTCTCGGTTTGGAAGGAGTCGTAGAGAAGAGTGGACTTGTTGGTCAGCCCGCTGTAGACCTTCATCCTGGCAGCGGGGAGGGAGAAGGGGGCCTCTGAGAGTCCTCTTGGGTCACGGACATGCAGCAGCAGGAGGGGTGTGCAGTGAGCACCTCTCACCCCCAGATCTGAACCCCAACTTTGCCCTGTACGAGCCCAGACAAGCTGCTTTACCTTATGGAAGCTGCTTCTTTGTCTGCAGAATGTTGGCCCTGGACTCATGGATTGATTCTGAGGTTGTAGGAGAAGTGATGTGTAGAGGGAATAAACCGGGCTGATTAATTGATAGTAATTATTGTTACTAATTGGAAAGTTGGGATTAAGGAGCTGATATCATTCCTGCAATAGTGGCACATGTAGTCAGACAGTCAGAGTCACCACTCCATAACCTCTCAGCTCTGTGGCTTTGGACAAGGACATTCCGCCTCACTGAGCCTCTGTTTCTTCATCTGCAAAATGGGTACAATTCCACCTGCATCAGACTGAGGATTATAGACAGTGGGTGTAAAGTGTCCAGGATAGAACAGGTATATAAGTCAAATTTATTAAGCATTTGACTCCTAACAGGCTTTTTGATCATTGTTTCCCAAGAGCACTGTGTGGGGAGTCAGGAGTCCTGATTTCCAGTCTCCAAAGCCCCATAGAAGTTTATGTGCATCTCAACACATCTTGGGCCTCAGTTTCCATGACTGCGAAGGCACGGATTATAGCACCTTATCTGTTTTACCGGTGGGCTTTGAAAGTCTGATAGATACAGTGCCCTGAAAAGTAAAACCTGTTGGACAAAATGTTGCGATTCACTTTTCCTGTTATTAAAACCCCTGGATACTCAACTCTTTCCTACTCAACTCTTTCCTAGTCTCAGAATTTTTAAAGAAATTATGCAAAAGTAGAGAAGACTATACACATTTGGTAAGTTACGTTTATGGAGTCATAAACAGGCATTTTGAGGTTTTTTAAATTTTACTGTGACCTATAAAAGGCTCTTTACAATGTTGCCCAGGTAAATTTCCAGTGTCACCAAAACGAACAAATGTTGGAGCTCCAGTCTGCTCATTTTGCCATGTTTCCACGGTGACTTGGATGAGGAGGGCGCCGAGGTAGAGGCCAGGAGCCACCCCAAGAGTGAGGGGGGAGCCCCTCCACCGTCCTGGTTCCTGCTGACTCTGCTGTATCCCGGGGGCCATGCCCCAAGGCCTAAGTTTTAGACTGTGCCCTTCACCATGGGTTCAAGGTTTGGCTTCTCAGTCAATCTCTAGGAGGAAAGATTGGGCATCTGTTGTTTAAAGAGCTCCCCAAGTCATCTTGATGCTGCCGGGAAGCCGTGTTTCAAAAGCCCTGCTTTACGATTCATACTCTAAAGCTGTGGTTTATTGGCCTGGAGTCACTCAGGATAAGCTGCACCACTCAGAGGGGAGTGGACTAAAGGGCTGGGTGAGTTATTCAGTGGCCTGGTGTTTTCTATACGAACCCCTTCCTGCATCATGAGGTTAATGGTCTAAGTCCGAAAATCCAAAGAAGCCCGGAGACCATAAGCAGGCACACCACTGTGGGGAATGACTGTGGGAGGGGGGCAGAGAGGGAGGGCAAAGGGGAAAAATTCGGCCAACTGTAATAGAATCCATAGGAATTTAAAAAAGCAAAAAGAATCTGGCCAATTCCTGAATTCTAAGGTGCTGGCCTTCTGGGGGTGCAGTAAATGCTGCCAGCACCAGACCCGTGTCCCTTCAACACTCACTGCTTAAATGTTCTCCTGCGGGCTTTTTACCCAAAGTCTCTGAGAGTGAGCCAGCTACACCGGCTCAAAGGGCGGACGACGATACTGGGGAGCCTGTGTGCACAAGAGCATCTTTTCTGCAGCAGCAGATGGGAGGCGGCAGGTAAGTAGCCCAGCTCCCTCGCCCCTCCGGACGGACCACTCTGAGGCACGCTCAGTGCTGTTCCCCAGGGCCAAGGTGGCTGATCTGGGTGCCTGCTTATCGGTGCAGGCTATACTGACTCTCTCTTCCTCCTTCCCACTTTCTCTCTAGGATCAGCTCCCAAATAAACCACTGTGCCTCACAGTTTTGTCACACCTCTGTTTCCAAGGGAACCAAACCCAAGACAGCATGTCCAAGTAGCTAAGGTCCTATTTTTCAGGAACATTCAAGAGTAGTCTGGTGTAAGGTCAGAGGATGTCACTGTTTTTAAGATTCTGGATTCTGGGTATGTTACTTAGAGTCTACAGACCTGCTCTCACTTAGATATTGCATGGTGGCTTCTCCCTAGCTCTTCAGCGTGAGTAAGTCTCATCTTTCTTCCACTTTTCTCCTGTTCTCCATGAAGTCCAGTATGTGACTGGACACAGAGCAGGCATTGAGTGAACACTCTCTCCTTGTTCAACTACAAAAAGTGATTATCAGGAGAGAGAACGAGGAGGCGGGGCAGCATGCGGGGGGTGGTCTGGGTTCCCTATTTGCCTCTTTCCTCATCTTGCTGTGTGTCCTAGGGCAAGTCCCCTTCTCTCTGAAGGGCCTGGTAGCCTTACCTGTAAAAAGAAGGACCAAAGCTGACGATCGCTAAGATTTTTGCTATCTTCCTAGCTTCTTCGTTCTTGACTCCCATAAGCCAGAATTTCAGTCATTTCAAGACTCCAAGTCCCTACCTAGCCCCATTCTGACACTCTGGGAGGGAGGGAGGCTGCCCGGGGCCCTCAGGGGTTTACCTGTCCTTCTCATGGAGTGACAGCCGCTCAAAGTGAAGATGCAGCTTCTGGCCCTCTGGAGCTTCAATGGTCCATACACAGAACTGACTCCCATTGGTGTTTCCAGGGTAACTTGGGGAGAGGACGTGGCCAATGGTGGCGTTGTGCACGGCCCCTCCACAAGGGGCTGGGGGCAGAAAGTAAGGGTGAGTGGGTGATGGGGGGAGAGAGAGAGAGAGCGAGAGAGAGCTATATCCTCCCCAGTCCCCATTCCTACCCATTCATGGGGGATACAGGATGGTAGGAGAGACCAAGGGACAGCCCTGTCCTCTGGGTGGGTTCCTCCTGTATGACAGGAAGTCTCACTCCATGATCACTGTGCGTGTTCTGTGGCAGGAAATAACTGAGACTTAAGGATGCTTCAGTGGTGCTGGCTGTGCCCTGCTTCTGAATTATAAAATGGTCATCAAGCAAGACATAAACAGGCAGTTTACAAAAGATCAAATATACTTTTAGTACATCGCAGGCACTAAAAAATTCAGTGCCCCCCTAATAATAAAAGAAATGCAAATGTAAACTATATTCTACTCTCATCCACCAAATTGGTCAAGGGGAAAAGTAACAATGACCCGGCGGTGAGGGGGTGATGGGAAGCGGTCACTCTCATTCAGGACTGGTTAGAATGTACATTGTACGAGCTTTCAGGGCAGAATTTTGCTGAAAAAGCTTAGATAGTATTTTCAAGCACTGTGACCTAGTAATTAAGGTTCTGGAAATCTATTCTAAGAAAAGGTTTATAGGTTTTCACAGAAGTTGATGGATGAGGATGTTCACTGCAAGACTTTTTCTAAGAGACAAAAATGAGAAACGACATGAATATCCATTCCCAGGGGACTGGTAAAATAAATACATTCTGCTCACGCCGTTTTTTAAAGAACCATGTTCTCAAAGAATACCTGAGAATATAGAAAAATGCTCACTATATTTTAAATAAAAAAGAAAAGCTAGAAAGTGGTCTGCTGTATCTATTATATGGCATAATATCTTTTATATTCATGGTCAGTTGAGACCATAAATATAAAAGTGATTTGCTCTTATATTCCATCCATTTGTCTTTCTTGAGAACTTTTTTAACCAGTACCATATAATACTTTTATCATAGAAACCTAATAAGTATTAAAGAGTGATTCATGAACTTGATGAGTTACACAAGTGTATGGAGGTAGTCCTATTTGTATCCTTAGGAGATAATTAGTTCCCATTAAATGGGTTTTGGAAGACTGTACAACAAACAAGGACTACTTGCAGCAGGAGAGAAAGGTAGACCGCTCTCTTCTCTGGACTTGGCTGTGACTTAGAGCAAAGACATCACCAAGGAACCCTGTTCTTCTTTCAGCACCACGGACAGAGCACCATGTCTCTCCCCAGACCGCCTACCTGTCTGTCCTGAATTAGAGGGTCAAACCTGGCTTGACCCCCCATCCAGGCTGTGGATCTCGGACCAGTTACTGAAGCTCTCTGAACCTTGAATTCACCGTAAAATGGCAACAATAACCCCACCCTCCTTAGATAACTGTGGAGAGAAACCAATGACATGTTGCATGCGGAGAGCTCGGTGCAGTCCCTGGCACAGAGCAGGTGCTGAAGCAGAGCCGGCATTAAGGTCCTACGGTGCAGGAGCTAAGGAGGTGGAGGACACTGTCCATGAGGGGGGCGCTGGCCATCTGTCCCCCCTGAGCTGCTCCTCATTTGCTGCCTTTCCACCCTTTTCTGGCTTTATTAAGCCGACCGATAGCTCTGTTCGGTTTCAATTTGCTAGCCGTGGCTCTCCATCTATCTTTCTTAGCACAAATTGAGGCTTAATTTCTCCTCGATTTCACACAAAGATAAAAATTAACGTGAGAGAGGTGCGAAGACCAACTACCCTATGTTTTTTTTTTCTTTATTAAAAAGAAAAGAAGAAAAATTCTGAGAGGCCTTGGGGGAACCATACTGCAACCACCAAATCTCAGAATTTATTATCAGCTCTCATTTGCTCTTTGGATTACACTGATTATGGAGGGCAGGAATTATGTTTATTGCTCCAAGTGTTCTCCCTGTGTGTGGCTCATGGCCTGGCACAGAGTAGGCATTCAGTTAATATGGCACTTTTACTCTCTTGGACTTTGGAGGAGAAAGGACTTTTGAGAATCTAAGAAGACTTTGCTGTCTTGGTAGCTGAGAGCAGTCAAGGCTTTGCCCACTGGTGCAGGAACCGGGTGGCATGACCCAGCCTCAGTCCACAATGTGCATGTGTGTTACACAAGGGGCGTGTTAAGATGTATATTTTGATTCATTTGGTCTTGCATGTGGGCCAGGATTGTGTATTTCTAATAATCTCACTGGTCTGCAGACCACATTTTGCATAGTGGAGGGGTAGTAAGGAAAAAACTCAGGAGAGTAGGATTCTGGACTCAGTCAATTTCTGTCTGGTGACTTCGGGCAAGTGCCTTCACCTTCATGAGCCTCAGTTTCCTGATCTGTGTGATGGGGATAAGGGTTCCACCATGTACAATTGCTGTGAGGAGTTATTGCAGCCTGGGCATTGTGCTCAGTACATATTAACTGGGCTCATGGCAGCAGCCACACCAAAAGTACAAGCAACAACAGAAAAAATAGATAAATTCAACTTCGTCAAAATCAAACACTTTTTTTTTGGTACCAAAGGACACTATCAAGAAGTGAAAGGACAACCCACAAGATGAGAGAAAGTATTTCAAATCATATAGCTATTAAGGATCTCATAGCCAGCATAGATAAAGAACTCCCTCAATTCAACAATAACAAGTCAAACGACCACATAAAAAATAGGCAAAGGCTTGACTAGACGTCTCTCCTAGAATGTACAAATGGTCAAGGAGCATGTGTGAAGCTCAGTATTACTGGCCATCAGGGAAATGCAAATCAAAACCACAATTATTCTAATCATACCTACTAGGATGGCTATAATAATAAAAAGAAACCCTGGAAAATAACCAAGTGTTGGTGAAGATGTAGAAAATTTGTTCTCTTGAACATGGCTGGTGGGGATGTAAAACGGTGGTGCAGCCACCGTGGAAGATAGTTTGACGGTTCCTTAAACAGTGAAACGTAGAATGACTGTGTGACCCAGCAGTTCTACTTCCGGGTCATACTTCTGCTCCTCATACCCCAGAGAAATGAAAATACGCGCTCACGCAAAACTTTCACACAGAGATTCATAGCACTGGTACTCCTAAGAGCCCAAAGTGGAAACAGTGCAAATGTCTACCAATGAACGAACAGATAAAATGTGGTCTATCTAACAATGGAACATCATTCAGCCATTAAAAAAAAAGAAAGAAAGTTCCGGTACACAGTATGATGAGGATGAACCTCGGGAACAATACGCAAAGTGAGAGAAGCAAGTCACCAAAGATCACGTACCGTGTGATCCCATTTACAGGAAACGTCCACAGGAGGCAAATTCACAGACACAAAGCATGTGGGTGGCTGCCAGGTGGTGGGGGAGGAGAGAATGGGGAGCGGCTGCTAATGGGGGCAGAGGGCCCACGTGGGGGTGATAAGGATGCTCTAGAACTGCCGGTGGGGATGGTTGCACAGCACGGGAGTGCACGCGATGTCACGAATGGCCCGTTTTACGTGATGTGTGGTCTGTACTGGGAGCAGTCTGTCCCCTGGGGAAAGAGCCTAAGCCTCAGGTCGGTCTTAATGCCCCGGGGGCTGGTCTCTCCCCTCCCATGGAACCGTGCAAGCGTGGTCCGGCTGAGGCCGCAGTGTACCTGAGCAGATGGGCTCGTGGCTGCTCCAGTGGGGCTTGGAGGCGTTGATGCACGTCAGCGTCTTGGCGCCCTGGAGCTCGTAGCCCGGGTGGCAGTGGAAGTGGGCCACGCCGCCCGAGTGCAGGTCCATCACTGTGACATCCCCGTAGTCCGGCCGGCGGGGGAAGTTGCAGCTCAGCATGAAGGCTGGAAAGAGACGCAGAGGCAGACAGTCACCCCTCCGAGGGTGGCGACGAGAATGTGACCCACTCCTGGGGGCCAGCATGTGCGGAGAAGGGAAGCTGAGGCTTCTGGAGACTCGGGGGAACTGGGGGAGAATGTGTCTGTCTCTCGTGGATTACACGGGGGTCACGTGGTCCAAAGTTCCCTGCCCTGGCTGACCAGAGTCAGCAGGTTGGGGGAGAAAAAAGCTCCCACGCCTCATGTGAGCCTCTCTCCACATGGACCTCGAACGGCCTTCTCCCCGGGGAAAGAAGGCACAAGACTGCCCTTGTAGGGCTAGTCCCACCTGCACGGATGCTTCAGAAGCCTGTGAAAAATGCAGACTCTCAGACCTGAATGAGAATAGCCAGCTCTTCGGGAAATGTCAGAGGAGAGGTACGTGGCTGGGCTTTGGAGGGAGACTGACTTGAATTTACATTCTTACCCCATCGCTTGGACAATGTGTGACTTTGAGAGAGTGATGCGGTGCCCTAAAGACCACTTTCCATAACCTTGCTGGTGGAGTGGACAATTGTCCCCACCTCCCCAGAGGTGGTGAGGGTGACGTGGAAAATGTCTGGCACATGGGTGGCGCCCACTGCACGGGGGTGGGGGGGTGGCGTGGGGCTCTGTCGAGTTCCTCAGGTTTCCTAAGAGGACGTTAAATTCCTCTTAGCTCCGCCCACACTGCGGTCGGGTCTCTCCTGCAGCACGGGGTACCTGCGCTCTCCGTACCCACGTGTGTGGCTCAACAAGGATTTTCCCCTTTTTTTTAATTAGCAAAGACAACAATATTGAAAAGTTGGGATGAAATGAACACTCCCATATACAGCCATCCACTTGTTTCAGAGAAGTTAAAAAGGAATTGTTTTTCCAGATATTTGGCCCACCCGACGTGAACACAGATGGCCCCCAATTTCCACATGGCTGGTTACTGACTCCACTTTCCACTCAGATATCTGCAGAGTTAAGCAGGAGGAGCTTCTGGTGACGGGAAGTAAGCTGAGGCCATGGGAATTGGCCAGGAAGGGGGACCTTGGGGAAATGAGGGAGAGAAAGAGAGAAAGGAGACAGAATGGAGGGTGGGAGTGAGGAGAGGGAGAGGGGGACGGGGAGAAATAAAGGGAGCAAGAAAATGCAGAAGTAGAGAGGAGGAAGGTGGAAGGAAGGGAGGAAAGAGAGAAACGAGCAGAAAGTAAAAGGAGGTCGATTCAGAAGCAGCTGAAATGGAAAGAAAGCAATGATGCAGAAGGGAAAAGAGACAGGGACCCTGGTGGCCAGGCCCTGCACCGAAGAGCACAGACTGTCATGTATCAAACGCAGTCCGTGAACTTGAAAATGGGGAAATGTGGCTTTCTTATCCTTACGAACATTTAACTGCACTGCAGTGCTTCCTTCAGCCATGAGTGTAGGGACAAACTGCAACATACCCATGGACTCTCTGACTTCGTCACCGAGAGAAACCACAGATATTTTCCCGTCCTAATGGATAGCTTCACGTATTTCTTATGCTCCTCAGTGCTTTGAAATTACAGTGATTATCAGAACTGCCAGGAGATTTTAATATTTAATGTGTTAAAGAGGTACACAGATTATGGTATCAGTGATTAAAACAATATTTTGACAACTGTAATTCATTATGATTGGTTTCCTTTTTAGTTGACATCATTTTTTATGCTCTTACACACGTCATTTTGAGAAGAGGTCTATAGGTTTTACCAAACTGCCAGGGGGACCCTGGGAGTAAAAGTTGGAGAACCCTCAGTTTCCAGAGGGAAACTGAGGCAGGCAGCTACATCCCGTCAGCCTCGGCCCGAGCCTACCCTGGTAGTGCAGCTGGAAGGTCCCGAGGCCGTCATCCTGGAAGGTCCGGAAGTGGACAGAGATGGTGTTGGTGGGGCTTCGGATGACCTGCCCCTCCACCAGGAGCGTCTGGTTGGCCAGGACGGTCAGGGTGGGGCCGTCCACCCCGCGGATGGAGAGCAGCTCCCCCTCAGAGAGGTTGACGCTCTTCACCTGGGGGCGGTCAGGGGCGGACAGAGAGGAACTGAGTCACGTTTGGGCCACGGAAAGGGCACGTATCCAGACCTCTGACCTCGGCCTAAAAGGGTCTTCCACCATGTGGTACCAGCCTCTTCTTCCCACGCCACCCCACTTTTCTCCTCCATGGGACAGCTCACCACTCCCAGCCTCGTCTGTCCAGTCCATTTTGAAGAGGACTTCTACGGGGTGGTCAGTGGGGAGGGTCTAGAACCAGGGTGAGCGCAGTTGGCGATACACACCGAGTGTTCCCTTGGGCTGAAGGCTCTCTATGCATTGTCATATCTATTCCTCCCTTCAACTCTGTGAAGTAGCCACATTGTCCTCTTTATCTTACTGATGGGGAAACTGAGGCTCAGAGGGGCAGAGTCCCCTTGCCCAACACCATGCAGCTTTAACTGGTAGAACCGAGACCCCAAAATCCAGGTGTCTGAAGCCTGGCATCACCTTCATTTTTCATCTGAGTTTATAGGCAAAAGTTTACAAAAAGGAACGAACTAGGTGGGGGCTTCCCTGAGTGTGTGTGTGTGTGTGTGTGTCTGAGATATGAAGGGCATCAGGAGACTTTCCTTCTAGGTATAATGCCTCACGAGGTATCAGCATGCCCTTCCCTTCACGTGTGCCCAGCTGGGGCAAGGAGAGGACCAGACGAGTGAGGATGCTAACGGGAGCCTGCATCCTCACGGTCCTCCTGAGACTTCCTGCTGGAAGAGGCAGCCGCTGGGGGCGCCCCTCTGCGCTTACCTGGAGCTCCACCCCGTAGCCGGTGTAGACTGTCACGTTGTACGTGCATTCAAGGAAGCTGTTGAGGGGCAGGGGCGGGTAGTCGCTGGAGTCGATGTACCCTTCGGGGTCTGAGAGGCTCACGCTGCAGAGAGCTGGGGGAAAGCATTCAGTCAGAACCTCAGAGGTGTTCAGCTGACACCGGACGGTCACTCACCACCTGCTGCTGGGCACTGTTCTGACCAGTGTTTAATAGATGGTAAACGATGGTGGGGCCCGGACTGCCCCGCCCCCAGGCCCTGCCCCAGGCCCCGCCCACCTGGGTGCCTCATGGATGCCGCAGGAGGCAGGACCCGGGCTGCATACCTGGGGCCTGCTCTGTCGTGATGACCGTGGTGGTGATGATGGTGGACGTCGTGGTCTCCTGGCTCTCCTCCGAGGCTGAGCCGGTCAGCTCATTCTCGCCTTTGTCCATCAAGGTCATCGGACTGGCGTCCTCAGCAGGAGCCTCCTGGGCCTCATCAGGCACCACGGGTTCCCCAGGGTCCGGCCTCTGGGGCAGCGTGTGGGCCACATAGGGCTGCGAGGTGAAGGGAGAGATCTGCAGGGGCGCAGGCGTTGTGGGGACCGCACCTTCCTTCCGGTCCAGCCAGAGGGGCTCCTCCGATGGCAGCCGAAGGGTCTCCCCACCCGTGGAGGTCACCGGATCGGGGTCTCCCGGTGAGCCAGGCTTCCTCGTGGCAGAAGAGAGGAGACCCAGGCCTGGGGAGGCAGGTTGGGACCCCACCCTGGGGAGGAGGGCTGCGGAGGCGGCCTTTGGTCTCAGCTGTTTCCTGGAGGAGTTCGCCTGCTTGAGCGAAGGCAGCCTCCTCCTGGGGGGGGAGGTGAGCTTGGTGCTGGGCTCCTCCGGAAGCCGTGTGGACAGGGCCGCGGGCTCTGGGTGCACAGAGGGGACTGCCCCTTCCAGCTCCGGGTCCTGGAGCTCTTCCTCCGACTGCGCTGGACTCAGGGTGACAGTTGTCGCTTTCTCTTCCAGGCTGACTTTGCTCGGAAGGGTGCTCCCTAGGGCTCCCGAGGGCAGGAGGTAAGTACCAGAAGGACCAGCGTCTCCCTCCAGGGGCGCATCTTGGGGAGAGGAGAAAAGCTACCAGTTAGCTTGGGGCTGTGGGGTTAGGGTCCTCCCCCTTCTCTCAGATTCCGGGGGGAGCCCTCCTGAGGAGCTCCCAAGGCTCCTCTGGGCCCTGGCAGAGCCGATGGGCAGACATGGGGCTGCCTCCTTCCCTTCCTCCCACCTTTCCTTCTCTATCCCCTTTCCATCTTCATTTTTTCTCTCCCTTTCTCTTTTTGCTGGCCATGGAGATGGAGGGTCGACCGTGCCGGGCCTGGGCTAGGCATTAGGGCCCCAGAAACCGAGGGCCCAGGAGTTGTCTAGTTGTATATGAACTGGGATAGAGAATAGGAAAGTAGTAATAATCATATTTGGTGCGATAAATACTTAGAAAGAGGGAAGCTTTGCAGACTACCAGGACAGAGGGCACAGGCCCCTCGCCCACCTCTGCAGAGCAGGACCACCGAGCACAGCTGGGCAGAGGGAGTTCACGGCACAAGAACCCCCGCTGAGAGGGTGAGTGGGCTGTAATCTGTGCACACTCGCTCCTTCAGGCTCCGTGTCCCCACTCAGGGCTGGATCGCCCTCCTCACACTGAGAGTTGTTTTTTTTTTTTACTGAATAATATATAAGTGACCTTGTGGAAGACACAGAAAGACTTGAGGATTCAGGATCATGAGGCCTGGCTGAGGTCAGCAGGAATGCAAGGGGGCAGGGAGCAGAGGTGGAAGCTAATTCCAAAGAAAGCTGGTGAGGTGGGGAGGTCAGTTGGGGCCAGGCCCCGGCGGCCGGGTACACCCTGCTGACGCCTTCTGATTTATTTTCGTCTTGAAAGTGAAACCACTCAGTAATCTTAAATAAGGGCTGGCCCTGGCAGCCCTTTGGTAGAATCATGGCGGCCTGAAAAATCAGCTTCACGAACTTATTTGAGACCCATTCTGCCAGGTGCAGGGTGACAAACGGCTTTATCTGAGCCTCAGTTTCTTCAGCTGTAAAATGGGGCTTTAATTCCCTGTTTCCTGGAGTGGTCCTCCTTCAGTAGGTTAACACATGTAAAACATAAACACATACATGTACAAGGGGGGGCCACCCACAGTGAGTGCCTAGCACCTGTCACCGTTCTTACTGTCATCCTTGGAACACGCCGCTCAGCAGGAAGCTGGAGTCCTGAGAACAGGCCCGATGACAATCTTGAGTTAAACAGGGCTGATTGCTGTCCTTGTCGCTTTTCTACAGGGAGACACTCACTCAGCCACAGTCTCGGGCCCTCCGGCACTGCCATTGGAATTTATTTTCGAAGCCCTGGGAAAGGCTCATTTACTTCCGTCGAGTTGGAGGCAGTGGCTTAACCTCTTACAGGCTGCAACAGTTTGGTGCCCGGCACCAACACGTGTTCCTACCGGGTAACACTGATCCCCAGCCAGTGTGCCTGGCAGGCTGGCAGCAGCGCCAGGCAGGTGTGGGCGTGGGGAAGAGCGGGCACACGGATAACCTGAGGGCAGACCAAGGGCGTTCAGGGGCCACACGGGCTTCCTGGTTGAGAGTGGGAAGCGTTGAGGCTTCAGAGTTGAACTTCAGAGTTCAAATCCTGCCTTTGACAGTGACAAGCCACAGGAGCCTGGGCAAGTCCATGAGGCCTCTTTTGTGTAATAGAGATGCTCTGCCTACCTCATAGAAATGGGTCAGATGTGGGTTTGCCCCAAGGCTGTGGCTTCCATGCTCAGGGTCACTTTTATCAAAAGATCGGTGTCGGCGCTCTCTGTAGACCGGGGTGAGCAGAAGGGGACGGGGCAAAAAGAGTGGAGTATGAGGGTCTGGAAACCTAGCGCCTGTGACCCAGCCGTGCTCCAGTGTGCAAAGCTCAGATGCGACCAGGGAAGGGAGGGGTCTGGTGGTGGTCCTGTTCTGGCCTCCACCCCCTAGTGTAACTTTGTGTAGGCTTCCTCTTTTCTCCGACTCCTGTCTCCGTGTCCAATGGGCTGCTGGGGCCAGGTAAGGGCTGCGGGCCCTTCCAGCTCCGACTCTGTCGATTTCCGGACAGATCCAGTAACTGGCAGTTATTCATAGCGTCTTTTGTTAATCTTGTTTATAAAAGGGCGCAGTGCCGGCTTTGATCCTGACACTGACTTGTGAGTTTTATAGGGTCCAGTGGCTACATTGGTTTCAACTAGTCCCTTCATAAAAATGTCCCCCTGATCACAAGTGGGGAGGTGAGAGAGAGGAAGAGGAAGGGAGAGACAGATTAGGAAAACAATTCGTGTGAAAGAAGGTAATTAAAGGATTATAAAGGACATAAAGCATCTTGGTGGACTTTGGCCAATAATAATAGTAATATTTATAACACTTTACTTTCGATTATTTTATTGAGTGCTGAATGTGTGCTAGACATGTGCTAAATGCTTTGTTTTCTCATTTAATTCTTCATTCCTCATTTTTAAATGCATTTAATTCTTTCTCAGCCTTAGTAGGTAGAAATTATTATTCCCATTTTGCAGATGAGCAAGTTGAGGCTTTGGGACATTAATTAGTGCTCTAAGGTCACAGGGTAAAGCTGGATGCCCAGCTTTATTTTCCTGACGTCAAACGCCATGCTACTAGCTCTCTTAGGAATTATGGAGAACCCTGGCTGGGTTCTCAGTTGGTTACAGCGTCATCCCAATACGCCAAGGTTGCAGGGTTGATTCCCAGCTAAGGCACACACAAGAGTCAACCCATGGATGCGTCAGTAAGTGGCACAGCAAAATCAGTGTCTCTCTCAATCTCTCTCTCTCTTTAAAATCAATAAATAAAAATTTTATAAAGACAGTTATGGGGTATTGTGATCACCGACTTTCTCCTCCTCAACTTGAAGCAGCCTCTTCCCTGAAACTCCTCTCTCTACACCCTCACTCGGCTTGCATCTCCACTGGGCAAGCCATCTATCAATCCCCCCCTCCAGGTGGCACTCCCCACCCCCCACCTCATTACAGTACTCATCATTAGTCTCCTCTGCCGGACCCATCTCATCTGACTCCCCGGGGGTGGGTCTTGAACGCTGAAGATTCAAAAGCTTCTCTAGGGACTCTTATTATCACACAAGTTCATTTCCAGAACTTGGCATCTCACCTAACCTCCCGTGCGTCCCTCATTCAGTTTGCCTTCTGCGTGCCTGGGGTGGCAGGTGGCAAGCATGTGCAGCAGGTGGTGACTCTTTCCAAGGCCTATGACCTCCCCTGGCCATCCTAGCCCTTCGAGATCCGACATAGCCAATAAGAGCGGAAGGAAATGCAAGAGAGAGATTCCATAACCAGCTTCCTCCCGTGGCCACCACTCACATCACTGGGGGTGCCCTGGAAGCCCCTTAGGAAGTAGGTCCAGCAGACTACTCAGCCCTTTTCCTTTGACAAGCTGAGTGCCAAGGAGAGTTGCCTGTTCACCAGGTACATTTACCTCCCTGCCCCTGGTGTTTCCAACTCGGGGCTGAGATAGGATGGAACCTCCCTGGCCAGCTCCAAACTCCGGGCCATGCTCAAGCCAGATGGGTGTGTATCTCTGCTCTGCAGTACGTGCAGCCTGCAAGGCCCAAAGCCCTTGTTCTCTGCCAGGATGCTGGCCAGAGGAGTGCCACACAAAACCAGTTCCTACTGGGAACCAGTCAAAATTGCATTCTGGGGCCTCAGAGATCCAGCAACTTCAGAACTTGCTTGAATAGGACACTTATACGGGGGGCCCCAATGACCACTGAGTTAGTTCAATTCACTTCTCTTTCTCAAAGCCCTTAAAATGTTCAGTCGCTGCAGTCACATTGGGCTGATCCTTGAACATGTGCGTTCAATGCCCGGCTCAAATGCTGTCCACCAACCAGTGAGTGAAAGCGTCGGGTACCCACTCTTTCCACTGACTGGCGCTCTGCGGGGGAGTGTCAGCACGCTAGGATGGGGGCCCTGCACCCGGGGGGTTAAGAAGACACACACCACACGATAGTAGCTGATACAGGTATCAAAGAGAGCAGATGGAGCTTTCACTGAGTCCGTCCTGCTGCTGCTCTCCTCTCTCCCCAGAGAATGGAGCAACATTGAAGGTGGCTGAGCGTTTGTTCTGCTGTCTAGACGGAGGGGAAGCACATCTCTCTCTTCTCTAACTAGGATGGGGAGATGGGAAACCAGACTGGGAAGCATCCCATTACAGTAAAAAATGCAACAGTTCTGAAACTGAACTTTGGTGTCTTTTTCTCAAATCCTCACTGGGGGACATGTATGTTGATTTTAGAGAGAGAGGAAAGGAAGGAGAAAGAGAGGGAGAGAAGCATTGATGGAAGAGAGAAGCATTGACCAGTTGCTTCTTATACATACCTCTGCCGGGGACCGGACCCACAAACTAGGCATGTGCCCTGACTGGGAATCAAACCCATGATCTTTTGGTTCACGGGACGATGCTTCAACCCACTGAGCCACACTGGCCGGGGTTGAAGGTCTCTGTCTTAAATTCCAGGCAGGCTTAGAATGAATGGCTAGGGCAGGCATGGATTCCAAGTGGTAGCCTAGCATCCAGCAGGTGCAAAGTGATGGAACCAATGTGGAGGAAACTGAAGCTGGGGGATGCTGCTGCTATGATGCTCCGTGAACTGAGCAAGATGTAAAACCCTGCGGCGTGTATGAAAATGACCAGGACCAACCAACTCAAATACTTCACAACGTAGAGACTTGTCTTGACTTGAAGGAACTACCCCAACTGGATGGTCCTGGCTGCCTCTGGGTGGTGGGACTGCTGGGGGTGTATGTCCTTCCTTCTCCTTTTTGGTATTTTTCCAAAATCTGTACGATAAATATTTAATTCTTTCTGAAGTGAACAAAAAGGTAAGAGAAGAGCAGGGGTTAAAGGCTGCCTTTAGCGCTGTGTGATGGAGAGGCTGACAGACACATTTGTAATTGCAGAAGTATTTTGTTCACTGTCTGAGTCATCCCGCCCCTTTGGAATTCAGTTTTCTGGCGGAGAGAATGATCCCTCTGTCATCAACGGCTCTGCTCATTGTGAGTAC